AAGAATTTGGAGCAATGTGTTTCTATTTAGAACATCGTTATTATGGGAAAAGTCATCCCACTGTGTATGTTGTATAGGAAAATATATATAAATGCAAAAGGAAATATTAGTTTCCAATTTTATATTATTATATTTTATTTTATGTCACGAATATTTGCAGAGATCTTAGCGTAAAGAACTTAATGTATTTAAGTTCAGAACAAGCATTAGCGGATTTAGCGTATTTCATCGCGAGTGTTAATGTTGCATATAAATTTCCAAAAGATACAAAATGGATTGTATTTGGAGGTTCATATGGTGGATCTCTCGCCGCTTGGATGCGTGCCAAATATCCTCATTTGGTACATGGAGCTGTGTCTGCTAGTGGACCACTACTAGCACAGATTGACTTTTCTGGTAGAGTAATTGTAAATGGTAAATTTTAACAAATATATATACAAATAATTTTGTATTACAGAATATTATAAAGTTGTTACAAATGCTTTGAAAGAATATTCTGATCAATGTGTCAGGGTAATACAAGAGGCTAACTCGCAACTTAATATAATGTTACACCATACTATTGGTCAACAGCAAATACAGAAAAAATTTAAGTGAGTACATTTTCCAAAATATAGAATTACTGATTGTAGGTAGGCTTGTATTTTCTTATAAATTTTATTTCACAGATTATGTGACCCAATTGATCCTGGACATACAAAATTAGTAGATATTTCCAACTTATATGAAGCATTGGCTAGTAACTTTGCTGGCGTTGTACAATATAATAAAGATAATCGCCAAAGCCCCCAAAGTGTTAATATCACTATTGAGACCGTATGTGATATATTAGTAGATGAGAAAGTAGGAAAGTCTATTGACAGGCTTGCTTATGTAAATAGTATGATATTGAATGCTACCAAAGAAAAGTGTTTAGATTATAGATATGACACGATGATTCATGAACTTCGAAGCATCACTTGGGCTAGTGAACAAGCGGAAGGAGGTAATGTACTTAAATTAATATTGCATACATGTACTTATTGCCTTAATTACTTTATTATGGTGGCCTGCAAATTATAAATGATACTTGCAGGACGTCAATGGATGTACCAGACTTGTTCAGAGTTTGGATTCTTTCAAACTTCCACCGGACAAATTGATGTGTTTGGGAATAAATTTCCAGTGGAATTTTTTGCACAACAATGCGTCGATATTTTCGGGCCTAAGTTTGTTTTCACTTAAATTATATTCCAATTACAATAGAATATTGATATACATAAAAACTCTTTTGCAGGTATAATATGAACTTATTGGAATCTGCAGTCACACGAACGAATATCTTGTATGGTGCATTAAATCTACAAGTGACAAATGTAGTATTTGTACATGGTTCTGTTGATCCTTGGCATGTGCTGGGCATCGTACAATCTTCTAATCCACAAGCGCCTGTTATCTATATCAACGGTGAATATATTATAGATATCTCATAATTTATATTTATTCTCCTATAAATACATTACAACGTTTATTTAAAGGCACTGCACATTGTGCAAATATGTATCCTCCATCAGAACGTGATATGCCTCAATTAAAGGAGGCAAGAAAAGTAATAAGAGGTCTAATCAAGCAATGGCTACAAAATTGAGTTGATTGTGTGATGTTATAGAAAACCTTATAAATATCTTAGCCATTAAAGAATACCAATTTTTCAAATTATTTCAAACAATTATTAATGTTCCAAATATTTTAAAGAGACTGCATTTTATATAGTATTTTTTGTTATTTTTTATGCAGGATAAAAGAGCATTTATATATATAATATTTAATAGATATGTTTATTCTAATTTCGTACAAATGTGAAATTTTGAATTTAGTGATTTTTGTACATTTATAATCTATAATATATATAATGTACTATATGTTTGAGTGACAAAATTGTTTCTTGAACAAATTGAACAAATTTGCACCATTGGCATTGTTATTTTATTACGATATCAAAAGTGCATATACATAATCACTTTTCATGTAATTATCTCAGGCAATCAATAAAAATTTATTGTTATAACAATTATGTTATTTCTTAAATATAATTAATTTCAATGAGTTGGATAGAATTGTTCAATAATTAACAACTGTAATTAATGCTATATACTTATATAATACAAACTTAGTTTCATTAATACATAACGAAGATATGAGCGATTAACAAATTACTTATTTTCATAACTGTAATATGCCTCTGAATCCACCTTTACATGCGTGTAAGTAAATGTGCAACTAATAAAGAATTGAATGTAATAAAATTGATAAAATTTTCATTTTCTGTCTATGCAGAAATAAAACATGATTCTTTTTTATAGATAGATTCATATGGATGATTCATATAAATAAATTCTAATTATGGAGGAATAAGAGTAGTATATGCGGGGGCATTCTGGGTCACCCTTCTGGGTTGTGTCTATGAATATCATTTTATCTTTGTTACTTATACTGACTGTTAAACAAGGATAAAATAATACTCGTGGGTATTTGGAAACAGGTAATACAAAATATAGAATTATAGTACATTATTTAGTATTTTATTTGTTATTTCTTTAAAGAGTGTACTATTACTTTCAAGTTTAAATAATATTCTGTTTCATTTTATATTTTATAATTTATATTGCTTATAATTTGTTACATCTTTTGTTGCATCTCTAGAGGTACTTCATTAATTGATTTTTATAAACCTAATGGCTCAATATTTTTATACATTGAAGGTGAAAGTGAAATATGTGCGAACTATATGCTGAGGAGTAACTGAATTAACATTGCCAAAGAATTTGGAGTATTTGTGTTTCCATTTAGAGCATCGTTTTTAGAGAAAAAGCTATCCCATTGTGTATGTTATAGGAAAATATATTCAAAAAGAATAAATTCAAAAAGAAAAGTTAGTAATAGTACAAATATACATTACATGTCACAAATATTTACAATGGATTATATTTGGAGAATCATTTGTTAGATCTCTTGCCACTTAGATGTGCGCCAAGTATCCTCACTTGGTACATGGAACTATATCTAGTAATGTATCATTGTTAGCATAAAATTCTGAATAGATTGGATATAATGGTAGCGTAATTGTGAATGATAAAATTTTAACAAGTATGCTATGTATACAAATAATTTTGTATTACAAAATATTATAAAGTTGTTATAAATGTTTTGAAAGAATATTCTGATAAATGTGTCAGCGTTTTAAAAGAAACTCACTCGCAATTCAATACAATGTTACTCTATAGTGCATACTGCAGATCAACAGGAAAAATTCAAGTGAGTTTGTAAGATACAGAATTATTAATCATGGCACGCTCATGTTTTTTTATAAATTATATTTCACAGATTATGCTATCCATTTGATCGTGAATATATAAAGAAGATATTTTCATTTTTTATGAAGATTTGACTTGTTATATTGTTGATATTGTATATTCCATATCTGACTTCGATATCCATGATATCGAAGTCATGATCCATTAATAAATAGGAAAGATTTGCTTATTTCAACAATATCAGATGTGGGAGAATAATTGTGGAAAGGATCTTAGATATGACACTATAGTTCATAATTATTTAAAGTCTCCTGGTTTAGCAATTGGGAACGACTTGGAAGTAAAAACGTTTTTAAATTAATATTGAATATATGAATATATTATTTTAATTACTTTATTATTGTGGCCTGTTAGTAGCGAATTATAAATGTTTGCAGAGCGTCAATTCATGTACATCATCAATATTGTACAGAGTTCGCATTCTATCTATCCTCCATCAGACAATCTGATATATTCAAGAATATTTCAGAGGAATTTTTTGTATAGCAATGCGTCGATGTTTTCGAACCTGAGTTGTTTTCACTTAAATTATATTCCAACTATGACAGAATATTGATATACATAAAATGTATATCATAAAATCTTTTGCAGATATAATATGAAATATCGAAATTTAATGTCGCACAAACGTATATTTTGTATAGTTTAATTAAATTACATTAAATCTACAAATGACAAATGTAGTATTTGTATATGGTTCTCTCGATCCTTGACATGCGTTGAGCATCGTACGATCTTTTCCACAAATGCCTGTATCTACATCAATGGTAAATTGAATATATTACAGATATCTCTCATTATTTGTATTAATTCTTCTATAAATTATTTAATTTATTTAAAGGACATTGTGCAGATATGTATCCTCCATCAGATTGTAATATGCCTCAATTAAAAGAGGCAAAAAACTAATAAGAGGTCTAATCAAGCAATGGCTACAAAATTGAACTCTCTAATGTGATGTTACAGAAATATATCACACCATAAATATCTTAATCATTAAAGAACGTTTGTTCCAAATTGTTTTCAAATAATTATTAATGGTTCAAATATTTTAGAAAGCATTCCACTG